CCTGGTTGTCCTGCCCCTGCCACATGAGTGCCCTCAAGATGAACCATTCCATAACCTTCCCTGGCTGAGGTCAGGGTGACAGGCCTGTAGTTCCCTGGATCCTCCTTCTTGTACATGGGCGTCCCATTGGCAAACCTCCAGTCATCTGGGACCTCCCCTGTTGACCAGGACTTCTGATAAATGATCGAGGGTGGTTTGGCCAGATCCTCTGCCAGCTCCCTCAGTACTCTTGGGTGGATCCCATCTGGCCCCATAGACTTGTGAATGTCCAGGTGGCATAGTAGGTCTTTAACTGCTTCCTCCTGAATTACAGGGGGTTTATTCTGCTCTTGGTCCTTGTCTTCCAGCTCAGGGGGCTGATTACCTTGCAGATTGCTTGTCTGACTATAAAGACTGAGGCAAAGAAGACATTAAATACCTCAGCCTTTTCCTCATCCTTGGTGACAATGTACCCCTCCGCATCTGATAGAGGATGTAGATTCTCCTCGGTTCTCTTTTTGTTGTTAATGTATTTGTAGAAACATTTTTGTGGTCTTTCACAACAGTGGCCAGCCTGAGTTCTAGTTGTTTCTTTTTTTTTTCCCTCTTCATGACCTAACCAGCTCCCCATACTCTTCTTGAGTTGCCTGCTCTTTCTGCCAGTAGCGGTAAACCCTCCTTTTTTCCTGTGAGTTCCAGCAAAAGCTCCCTGTTCAACCAGGCTGGTCATCTTCCCTGCGGGTTCATCTTCCAGCACACAGGGACAGCATGCTCCTGCGCCCTTAAGACTTCCTTCTTGAAGAGTGTCCAGCCTTTCTGGACCCCTTGCCCTTCAGGACTGCCTCCCAAGGGACTCTCTCACTCAGTGCCCTAAACAGCCCAAAGTCAGCTCTCCAGAAGTCCATGGTTGTGGTTTGGCTGACTCTCCTCCTAACTTGACTAAGTATAGAGAAGACTATCATTTCATGATCACTCAGCCCAAGTAGGCCTCCAGTCACCACATTTCCCACCAGTCCTTCTCTGTTCGTAAACAGCAGGTCAAGTGAGGCATCTCCCCTGGTAGGCTGCCTTACCAGCTGTATCAGGACGTTATCATCTTCCACACACTCCAGGACCTCCTGGACTATTTCCTCTCTGCTGTGTTGTATTTCCAGCAGACATCTGGTAAGTTGAAGTCCCCCATGAGGACAAGGGCTAATGATTGAGAGACTTCTGCCAGTCACTTACAGAATGTCTCATCTGCCTCTTCCTCCTGGTTGAGTGGTCTATAACAGACTCCCAGCAGGATATCTGCCTCATTGGCCTTCCCCCTCATCCTTACCCATCAGCACTTGGCCTTGTCCTCGTAATCGTTAATCTCTACACAATCAAAACAATCCCTAACATACAAAGCCACCTCACTGTCTCTCCTTCTTTGCCTATCCCTTTGAAGAGCTTATAGCCATCCATTGCAGCACTCCAGTCACTTAATTCATCCCACCATGTTTCTGTGATGGCAACCAAGTCGTAGCTATCATGCTTCACAATGGCTTCCAGCTCCTCCTGTTTGTTGCCCATACTGCGTTCATTGGTGTAGATGCACTTGAGCTGTTGATTTCACCCCTAACATCGGCATGCCTCTCCTAGGTCCATCACTGGTAGGCCTTGTTTTGTCCCCCTCCCCCCTCAAACCTAGTTTAAAGGCTTCTCTACGAGCCCGGCCAACTCATATGCGAGAATCCTCTTCCCGTTTCTAGAAAGCCGAATCAGGCCTGGTGCCTTGTAAACCTCCCCATGATCACAGAAACCAAAATTCCACCAATGACACCAGCCTCTAATCCATGTGTTAATCATCAGGTGTGTTTTCTTATTCCTTTCAGTATTCTTGCCCACCAGTGAAGGGATTGAGGAAAACACAACCTGTGCTCCGGAACCTTCAAGCAATCTCCCCAGTGCCCTGAAGACCCTTTGGATGGTCTTTTGATTTCTCTCTGCAATCTCATCGCTACCAAGTTGCATAACCAAGAGCGGGTAGTAATCAGAGGGCCAATTAGTAATTAGAATGCCTTTTTTACTCATCTAGTATGATAAACTCATGAGTTTGGCAGAGTGCACGTGGAAACAGAAATGCAGAGAGAAGTGTGGAGCCAAAGAGAAAACTTTTAACTTTTTTTTTTCAGTGTGAAGGCACTATAAAATGTAGATGTTCTTCCTGATCA